TTCTGCTAGCGTGCCACAAGCTCATACAATTCACTGTTCAATTCATCTCTACCAACGACCGTGTATGACACCTATTGCTAATCAGCTGACTGTCACAGCGCAGACGAAGTCGTTACTCATATCGACTTTTGGTCCAGCTAAAGTTTTGACTTAGGTCTAACTCTAACATGCTTGTGATTACCTGCTCATAATATCGAGCAGTTCTGCGCTACATCATACGCAACAGTTGTAGCGTGAATAGATGATGTGCAAATATGAATGCTATAACTTAAGTGGCCTCTTGAATACAGCGTGCTGGGCAGGTGATCCACGTGCTATTACTTCCTATCTTTTGAACTACATCCAGAAACATGAGGGTCATCAACGCTGTACACCCTTCGGCCGCTTTGTTCGTACATTTTCGCTAACCCATTTATGGGCAACCTCTAGTCTTCTCGAATAGGCGCGGAGCTGACACAACACAGAGACTTGTGAAATCGATAAGGGTGCGAAAGTAAATCACAATAGGTTCCCAATATGAGCAGACAGCACAATAAGGCACCAAAGGGTATGTAGTTCACGAATCGATGGGCATCGCCATTACACACTCAATGTTCATATCAGACGTCATTCATGTTTTGCATGCCCCGGAGTAAATAAAGTCCGTTGCTCAATCTCGGCGACGTGTACCTGCTTTATTTGATACGCATAGCGACTTTGAAAACCTTGTAGCGGTTGGAAGTGAACACTGACAGTCTCGTTAGTTCATTCAGGCTAAGAAAATCCAAAACGGCGTTACCGACGCAAGAAATAATCACTTCGGACAACGGCCCCTATCCAAAAGGCTCACGGAAATGATAAGTTTGCAGTTGTGGAAGGCTGCTAACTGGCTGATTGCAAGTACAGTATATATATATATATATATATATATATATATATATATATATATATATATATATATATATATATATGGTTGGCGGCATCCGTTTTCGGATTTGCCTGTCACTGTGGCAAGCCACAGGACGCCTGCGCCTACAGAGCGACCATGGATGGCTTGCGCTGCACCACCCACAGTTCCAACCACACACCCCATATCCAGTGTAAACGCGAAGGAATAAGACCGGGAGGCATGCGGATTGGAGCCACGTTTCATCAACGGAGCCTGCCCACACTCCTTCACAGGCAAACACAAGCACACTGTATTTGGGAATCAAGCACACACAAGGCGGTGGCTGGACCGTAGTCCGCTCCACACTGAGTGCATGGAACCACTCTTCGAGCCTAACACGGCCACAAGGACCGTGCACCCCGTCCCCTCCAGCAACGACCAACTGTCTCCTGGAGCCAGTATGGACGAGGTAGTGGGTAATAGACAGGTAGGCACCTTGTCAACATGCACATCAAGCGAAGCCACACCGGGGATATCAAACAACAGCCAATCACTTGAGAGAGAGAGAGAGAGAGAGAGAAAGAAAAGGAGAAAAGTCGATTAATGCATAAGGAAACGATGACATAAACCTTAAGTAAATAGCATACGTAATAAGTTGTTTACAAACAGATCCTAGCTAAGTGCACAAGGTCAGGAAGTATAGTTCACGGAATGCCACGAACACAAAAATGTTATGGAAATCGAATACAATTGGCTGAAGCGATGTGTGCAAGTTAATGGAATAGAGTACAGGGAGATATTTATATGAGAAAGAAAAGCATTATGGTAAAAACTGTAAACCCTCCACCTGAAATAAAGAGACTTAGCATGCAAGCACGCGGTTAGTAAATCGAATTCAGCGTGCCTACAAACGCTGTGCCCGCTCGCCGTAATTCTCTGTAGGACCCCTCGTCGCTTCTGTAGTGGCCCCTAATGGCATAGCTCATGGTCCGCTAGACATTTATATGAGAAAGAAAGGCATTAGGAGAGAACCGAAAACCCACCACCTGAAATAAAGAGACTTAGCATGCAACCATACGGTTAGTAAATCGAATTCAGCGTGCCTACAAACGCTGCGCCGGTGCTGCCTACGTTCACTGCGGGACCCGTCGTCGCTTCGGCAGTGGTCCCGAGTGACCTCGCTCATGGCTCACTAGGCCTGCCTGACTAAGGCACTCGCGACCGCATGTTCTACAGAACAATGCGCTTGATGTCGATGGAGTACAATTCATATATATATATATATATATATATATATATATATATATATATATATCGGTGTACACACCCACGCCTCAAATGCGCTGTATGAGCTTTGTTGAATTTAATTTCTGCCACTAAACGGATCTTATAACAAAGATCGAACGAGAATGACCAAAACTACTGAGAACTCCGCAGTAGTAAACCTGAAGAAATCCGAAGTAGTTATCAATTGCTCTCGATGAGTTTGCAATAAACTCATACTGACGTATTGTAGAGGGGCCGCTTCCAAGAATGGCTCTGGGGAGCTCTTCGGAGCTAGCTGAGAGCGGATCGCGAAAGACGGCTAGCGACGAGCCTGGGCCCGGAACTACGGAGCGGGAATATGTGGACAGCGCAATAAATCAGACATATACGCCGCTAGCGCAGCCCACAGGACCGACGCCGAGCCGATTGACACAGCCCAGAACAAGCAAGTCGAGAGCTCTCGAACGACTCCTGGCCGATCCAAATCGGGTACAGAGAAGTGGGGATCGAGGCGAAAACAGGAAGGCGGGTCTTCCAAGTTAGAGCTCCCGAGGCGAAAGGACCCTGTTCCACACAGATAGCGTAGCATGGACACCACTCTCTTGAGGCTCTAGCACCGGCACGCAGGAGGACGGTGCAATCATCCGTCCCCCAATGCATGCGACGACCCAACTGTTCTCCTGGAGGTCCTAGTATCTGGACGAGGTATGTTGGGTAATGAGACAAGGTAGGGCAACCTTGTCAACAATCGCACCATACAGGCGACATCCACACGGGGAGTACTCAAGCAACATTCTAGGACTTCTTAAAAAAAGAAATGTGCAAGATTAGCATCAAGTCAGCTGCAGGCTAATAAATTCGGTACGGCACATACGCCGCACGTATATGGCACTGGATCTAGTAAGATATGGAATGGGGGAGACGATACTCGATGGTGCATCTGATATCAGACTGTCACATACAATTGTGGCCTTCTCCTCGGTCACCATGAAGTATAACGCGCCCTTTCGAGCCAGTTCACAGGAAGTCGCAACGAGCTTCAAATTTGCCTTGGGATATCAGGCAACACCAGGAAATCTCCATACACTGAGTTGTGGTCCATAATACTCAGCTTCCTCAATCGTTCGGGTAATATTGGTTCTGCAGGTTTGCTCGTAATGGCGTCCTACTGCGCACCAATGTTAACACGTACAAAGCGGTTGTAAGATCCTCGTGGAATTCATATCGTATACCATTATATACCAGTAGATTGGCGTCATCTTCGTATCCAATGGCAGTTCGATATGCAACATATGCCACATGTGTTTCCACGGACTTCATTATTAACTGTCACTAAATACTGGGACAAGCGACACATTAGTCCGCCATGAAACAAGCATGTTTCCTAGGAACAAAACCACGTAGGGGTATCA